GCACTCACAGACGAATGGGGGCCATTCTAGAGTCCTCTCAACGCCAAAGTGTGAGCCTTGAACTAGCATTCTAGACCGAGTTTGATCACTTCCAACAAAGGTCTGGTCCAAGCAGAGACAGGCAGGCGGGCTGGGTCCAGACAGTGGTGTTGCAATACCGCCATCTGCTGGCCAGTAAGTGAAACTTGGCCGTTTGCTGGGAGGTGCCTATTCCTAACAGGCGTTATTATCAAAGTTCTTTTTCATTCTTCTCCATTGTTTTCAACAAAGGGCTTTGTGAGGCCAGCAGGCCCTTATTGGCCGGCCTCATTTTTCTTATGAGAAGACAAATGCTGAAAGAGGAGATAGGAATTCTCAATGTTCACCTAGCTCATTAGGGGAAGTCTCAGGATTTAAATCTATATCTGTATATAACTAGGTATTTCTGTCATCACAGGAGACTAGAGCAAGGGCTACATGGTGCAGGGGACCTGGGGGAGGGTTTGTAAAACAATGAAAGAATCTTTTCTTTTACTTTTCCATAATTTTTGGACTCATGTACTTATAACTTGTTAGTCAAATTTGTGTCTTCTAGGTTGCAACACCTCCATGATACATCTTGAAGGATATGAACATGTACGGCCAAGCACAATCAATAAGAGTGCATCTAAATTCCAAAATCAATCTCCATAATAGTCTATGTGTTTCCTACTGCCAAAGGGGCCCTTTAGAGTAGTGAGAGAAGATCTTCACCCTGAAACCCACAGCGTCCCTTTTCAGCAGGAAGTAGCTAAGAGAATACGCCATCCCCTTTTCCTTATGACTCAGGGTGAAGTCTCTCTCAGGGAGGAGTGATAGGGAATGGCAAAGGACACACTGACAAAGAAGATTAATCAGAACTGGCTTTGACAAGCACTGTGGCATTTGGACAAGAACAAACTGGGAGGAGGGTAGAGAGAATAGTGCAACAATGAATGAATGGAAACCCAAAATCTCTGTAAATGTTTATGAAAATTAATAAAATATAATTATAGAAAAAAATCTATATCTGTGAATACTTGCTACACTCACCTGACCACATGTGGCCTCAGAAGGAGGACTCTGAGGGCATCTAGGTAAATCCTTTCCCTTTCGGTTTAAATATGGGGAAATCAAGGCTCAAGAAGTGGCCTGACCTAACCAGGCGTGTTTCCGGGATGAAGTTCTGACACAGAGGTCATGTCAGGATCTACCAGGACTTTTGCTGGGGTTCTCAGGATGAATAGAAGCTTCCTGAGAATCTGAACCAGGTAACATTTCTATCTGGGGAGATGCTGCCCCTTTCCCACACCTTGGCTTTCCTGAGTCTGACTCAGGAAAGAGTGAGAGGTTAAAGAGAAGGGCTGTTCAGGTAAAGTGGAGAAAGGAGGGTGGTAACCTGGGAGAAGGGGCAGGAAAGGGCAAAGCCAAGGTGAGACGTGGTGACTTCAAGCATGAGGAGACAGCCATCACCTTTAAATGATAGGCACGGAATCATTACTCCTGACCTGTGAGGCAAGCGAGTCACCCTCGTTTACCAATGAGAAACCTGTCAGGTGGGCCAATAGTGCATAGGTGGTGAATAGGAAGCTAGAGGAAGTGTCCAGAAAAAAAGGAGTGCAGAGTTATTAGGGCTGAAAGCAGCCTGAGATATCCTGCTGCTGAGTGTGTGTGTGTGTGTGTGATAGAGAGAGAGGGACGGAAAGAGAATCTCTGTGTCACATTCTGGACAGTCTTAGAGTGCGAGCTGTGGGACTTATGGTGCTGGTAAGAGGCCTGAGAGGCTTCTTGGCCTCTAACTTTGGGTAGACTCCTGGGCATCCTTCCCAAATCAGATGAGAAGTCACTTCCCCAGGGAAGCTCTCCCAGATTGCCTAAATGGGATTAGATCACCATGTTACACTCACGTTTCTGTCAAGTATTGTCATTAACTGTTTAAGTAGTTGAAGTGTTCACTCAAAAGTCCTTTGTTCTTGCACGATTGCAGGTTTCAAAATGGTAGATAAAAGCCAGCATGATGGATTGCAGAGAGACTCAATGGCCTTGAACAGTTAGGGTCTCCTCAGCTTTGGGCTGTGGGCTAATTGAAGGGTTGTCTTGTGAGCTTCCATGAGTCTGTTTAATGTCTGTCTCCTGCGCTGTCTACCAGGCTGTGAACAACTTGAGTCAAGATAACGGTCTTGACCCTGCTGTGCCCCAGCGCTTACCACAGTGTTCTAGAACTTAATAAATACCAACTGAAGGAAGGAATGAATAACTGAATCTTGGGTTTGGGGGCAGGGCAGGGCCAGGTTCATGCATGAAGAGGTACGTGCAAGCAGCACTAAGACACCCGGCCTCCCATGTGATGGCGCCCCCTGGTGTTGAGCACTTCACAGTACAGCCTGTGGGCCACACAGGGACCCTGAATCAGCCTCTGAGCTGAGCATGCTTGTTTAAAAGTTGTTGGGGGCCATAGAACCACGAGTACATTTAAGGGGAGCAGGGAGCCAGAAGGTGCCAGAAGGAGTCCTCCTGGCAGCCCCTCGCTTGGTCTCCTCACTTGTCTCCCTCCAGAGCTGCAGAATTCAGGGAGGGAACAGCCCATGAGCAGGCCTTGACACACAGCTTCTCTGGTTGTCATGTCTCAAGCCCACTGAGGGATGAGGTAAGCATCTCTCTCTGACCCCTTTCTCTTGGGAGGCGGGCCCTGAGGCTTTCCCAGGAGTCCAGGAAAGAAAGAAGCAGGCAGCTTGTTCCCTTCCTCTTCCTTGTCTAGATCAACAGCCATCCCAGACGGCTTCTCCTTGTCATCTGCTCTCCCCCAGACACCTTCTCGCTCAGTTTCCAGGACACTTAGGAGGTTAAGTAGCCGCCACTCAGTCACCTGGGCCAGATGCTCCCCTCTGACAATGTCCTGGACTGTCACCCTCGGTGTCCCTGGGAACCTGGGTAAGAAATAAAAATTCTCCACAGCTCCTCACTTCTCACTCCCACCCCAGGCCTGCTCTGGGGCTGAGCTGTTTAGCCTCTGGGATCACATACCCTTACCTGTGTCCCTTTGGGAACACGTGGGCAGCTGTTTGGGAAGGCCATGAAAGAGGCACATGGCAGTCTTGCCATTTTTTTAAAAACCTACTACAGAATGCACCCGTTTCAAGTGCATAATTTGATGGCTTCTAGCATATTCACAAGAGTGTACAACCATCTCCACAATCCATTTTAAGGCACTGCCATTTTAGAATGAGTTGTCTTTGTTATATTAGGGGATATTAGTGTAGGGTTTGTCTTCTGTTCAGGCAATGTCTTTTGAAATAGAAGATAAAGTGAGGGAGGCAGAAACAGGAAAAGAGAGATGGCAGATCACATGAAGATCATGCAGGAGCAGAAGATCAAAGACACAAGGACCTTCATCCAGTCAGCAGTGAGCAAAGCCTTCCACTGGAGCTGGCGCTTCTAGCTTCCTAAACACAGAAAATAAATGTATGTGTTAAACCACTCTTGTATATTTCTATTATGTTGTTGTTATGTACCATTGAGTCGGAATGACCCATAGCTGACCCTCAGCATGAGTTAATCACATGGGAAGAGATTGTTCATCTTTCTCCCATGCTCTGGAGTAGCTAGTGGATTCAAACCACATACCTTTAGGTTGGCAGCTCAATTCCTTGCCACTAAGCTACCAAAGCTCTCTCTATTTCTGTTATAGCAGTATCTCTGTTAAGACATCTTACCTTTCAAACCCTTAATAGCCACTAATCTGCTCTAAGTCCTTATGGACTACTCTGTTCTGTAAATTTCCTGGGAATGGAATCATATAACACATGGCCTTTCATGTCTGACATCTTCTACTGAGTGTAACTCTTTTCTTTTAATATTTTTCATTTTATATTTATTTGTGTACAAAATACATCAACATTGTGTTTCATTCATGTATATTGTTTTTCAAACATTCCTTCCTTCACATTGTGTTTCATATAATCATTTCTATTCATTATATTTTACAAAAAGAATCAGCACTGATCGATGCCCACTGTTACTATCTTTTCAGTCCCCATTGGATCTTTCCTAATTCCTTCACCTTCTCCTTCTGGGCATCAAACTCAGCCACCCCAGTTGTTTCCTCTCCCAGCCACATACTCCACCACCTTGCTTCCCTCCCTTTCTCCATTTGAACTTTCACACACATCTTAATTGTTATTGTGTTCTACATAGTTTAAAATTAAGAAAAGTGTGCTTCAGGGTTGTATCCACTCTCCATACCTATTCAATCTGTCTGCTGAGCAATTTATTCAAGAACTTGAACTCTAAGAAGAATATGGCAGCAAGAACTGAGGAAGAGTCATCAATCTACATTATGAAGATGGCACAGCCTTGCTTGCTGAAAGTTAGAAGGAACTGAAGTGCATGCTGCAGAAAATCAAAGTCTGCTACAGCTTCAGTATGGATCAGATCGGTATCTCAATGTAAAAAAACACCAAAATTCTCACCTCTGGGCCGATAGACAACATCATGAGAGATAGAAAAAGAGAGACTGGAAGTTATCAAAGGCTTCATCTTACTCAGACCCACAATCAAAACCCTTTGTCCATCAGTCAGGGGATGAATTGTACTGGAGCATCTGTTGTCAGGGACCTTCCTCTAAATTATTAAGGAGCAATGATGGCAGGTTGAAGTCCAAGGTGCTCCTGACTTAGGCCAAGCATGGTCTTTTCTATCACTTGCTTTGCGTCTGAGAGTTGGAAAATGAATCAAGATGACAGAAGAAGAATTGATACCATTGAGTTTTTAGAGAATATTGAATGGACTACCAAAAGAACAGAGAAAGTATAACAAGTTGAGCATAGCATTTTTTAAAAATTAATTTTAATGAAAGTTTACAGAGACTTAGGGTTTACAGTCATTCATTGTTGCACTTTTCTCCCTACCCACCCCCTGTTTATTTTTTTTTTAAAAAAACAAATGTTTATTGTCTACAAATATATATATATATATATATATATATATATTCCCCACAAAAGATGCTATTCTCTCATTTCCCCATCTTCTTCCTCTTCTTCAACACCTCTAATATAAAGGCTATTATTACACCTTATTAACATTTCACCCAGATGTCCAGACAATGCTCCATCCGTGTATTCTTCTGTATTTGCAAGCTGCATGTTCATATAGCCATCTACAGATACGAGGTAGCCCTTGTACTCCATTCCCCATTTAAATTTCACCATCACTGGCTTTCCCGTTAATCCATTCAGAAATGGTTTGGGATTGAAGGGTAAACTCATCACGACTACAGGCGAATGATGCAGGCTTCTAGCCGCCGACCCAGCTGTCATCTGACCCTCGTGACAGGAGCAGCAGCCTAGGCCCCGAGAAGCGGTGCTCGGAGAAATAGCATAACATTTTTAAGGTTCGTCCATGTAGTAGCATGTTTCACCACTTCACTTCTTCTTGTAACCAAATAATATCCCATTGTATGACTATACTGAGTCCTATTCACTCTTTCATCAGCTTATGGGCAGTGACTGGTCACATCTGTGTTGCACTGGGGGAGGGTATTGTGGCAGGAATGTGGGGGAAGAACTGGAAAGGGGCTCCCCTTGTGTCTGAGACCTGGGAGAGGGTGACGTTCCAGGTCGTGACCCCACTGCCAGGGCTCTGCACCTTCTGCCTCAGCCAGTGCTCATTATGCACATCATCTTCAAGGTCACCTACTCCCAACACTTGGACATGAGCCTGGCCGACAGGGCCTCGTGACCAGCCGCTGCCAACGCCTCCAGTGATGCGTGTCCGAAGCCATGGCCTCAGAACGTCAGTGCAACATATCCCACCAACACCGAGTGACCTCACTACCCAGAGGGTGCTGGCAACAGGCTGCCCCAGGTTCTCTTTCTCTGGGGCCCAGAGTTTCCATACTGACAAGGGGAGCGGATGGTTTAGAGCTCTGTGATGTGGAGAGAGAGCTCTGGTGGATGAGATGAATTCTCGGAGAGGAGGAAATTCCCATGCAAGCAGGCGCCAGAGAGTAACAAATAAAAAGAGCGATCATCCTTATATGTGTTTACCATATGTCACGTCATTAAATATGTAACCTCCTTCCATCTCATTTATTCTTTATAAAAAAAACCTCTTCAGTAGGTGCTGTTGTTCACTCTGCTTCCAGATAGGAATCAGAATCCAAGAGTGATGAAGTCAGTTGCCTAAGGCCATACAACATCTGAGTGCTGCAGCAGGGATTTAAACCCACAGGACACTTTCTTAACGACTATCTACCTCCTCTGAGTCACGATTTCCTGCTCTGTGAAAGGGGCAAAGAGTGACTCCAACTTATTTCACAAGATTTTTCATTTTCCCTGAGAAGATGCGGTTTTGGGAAGCTTTCTGGACTCGGGTCTGGGTGCTAATCTCAGCTCTGCAGGCTACGAGTTGACACTGATCACATCACTTTGTCCATCTAAGGAGTTTGAATCTCCTCGCTGCTGGAGTGGGTAAAACACGGCTGCGCTCTTCTGGATGGATTGTGGGAAGGAGGAAAGATGGGCATCCATTGCTGTGTGGAGCAGAATTTGGATGTGGAAGCTGAGGGGGAGGTAGGCAGAGGGAACAGCCGGAGCAAAGATTTGGAGGTGGAGTGTGTATACGGAACATTGCAGTAATTGCTCATAACAACCAACTTGACTCAAACCTCATCTGCTAATGGCACAACTCCCAGAGGACACCCCCACCCCTCTGCTTCCCCAAGTCTGGTGGAGACGGTTATTCAACTTGGCTTAATCCATTAACAAACAGTATATGGCAAAGGCCTTCGAAGATGGAGAAAACTTGTATTCAAATCCCTTTCCACCTTTTTATGGGCAGTGTGACCTGGCGTGGGACACTTCACCTCTTAGAACTTCAGTTTTCTCATCTGAAAATGGGAAAGAATCTCAATCAACCACAAAGCATAGTGAGTTGATAATGTTAGGATCAACCAAAATTAATGTTATAGTTAATTTTGTGTGCCATCAAGGTCATGATCCTTAGTCTAATGTAACTAATACTTGTGTTATACAGGAGCTCTGATGGCCTAATGGTAAGAAGCTGCACTGCAATCCCAAAGGCACATCGTCTGAATCCACCAGCTGCTCCACAGGAGAAGGATGGGCAGTCTCTTCCAATGGGATTAACTGCTTCTGAAAGCCCACTGGAGGGTGAGCTATGGGTCAGTTCCAACTTGATGGTACACAACAATAATAACATGGGTTGTAAATTCTAACCTCTGTGATATTAATAATGTAGCATTTGAAGTGAATCTATATAAATATGATTGGCCTTACCTGATTAAAGGTAGGTTTCCTCAGGGGTGTGGTCTTCATGGTATTTGTTTTGGATTGTGCCAAAAACCCAGACAGCTTTCTGTCAATTCTGTCTGCCTAACTGACTCTTGGTTTTCAAATTTAAACAAATGGCCTGTTATACTTGTTACCATTGGACTTGTCATTGTCCAAAGCTAACGGTCCAGTCCATGACCTTGCTTCCCAATATAAGCCTTCGAACATGCTTCCCTGTTGTTGGTGTCACTGAGACAGCTCTGTCTGCTCACGGCAGCTGCACTAAACTCACAGTCTCTGCTATGTCCTTGCACACTCACTGCTCCAGGCACTCTATCAATCCATCTCATTAAGGATCAGCCTTTCATGTTCTTTTTTTCTACCTTAACATGATGGTTAAAATTGTGATGTGACAAGGTGGTGGAAGAGGTCAACCAGTGTGCAGTGTCTGAGATGCCAACGTTCTGAAGTCTAGTGCTGGACCCCGAGATTGGGAGTTATGTGTGTAGTGACTAAAGGAGGAATGTTGTTGTTGTTGTTGTTGTTGTTATGTGCCATTGAGTCACCTGTGGCTCATAGTTACCCTATGGTCATTAGCTCTGAAAGCTGCCCTATCTCACATCAATCACATCATCTCCAACAGACCTAATCTCATTGCTCTCGTCACTGAGTCAATCCATCTCATCCTGGGGCTTCCTCTCCTGAACTATCCCTCCACCCTTCCAATCATGATGTCCCTCTCCATGGACTGCTCTTTCCTGGCCACATGCCCAAAGTATGTGAGAAGGAGCCTCAAAATCCTTGCCTCCAGGGAACAAACTCCAGGACAGACCTGTTTGTTCTCCTGGCAGTCCACGATACGTTCAACACTCTTTTCCAGCACCACAACTCAAAGGTATTGATCCTTCTTCTATCATCCTTAGTTATTGTCCAGCTCTTGGATGCAAAGCAAGTAATTGTGAAGACCATGGCTTGCCTGGATCAGGTGCACCTTAGTTTCCAGACTGATATCATTGCTCTTCAGTACTCTGGAGAGGTCCCTGATAACATACTTTACCAATGCAATTCACCTTTTGATTTATTGATTGCTGATGCCAAGGGTTGATTGTGGAACCAAGCAAACTGAAGTTATCAACAATCTCAATCTCTTCTCCATTTATCATGAAGTTGTCAATACAAGTTCCTTATTCATTTGTGTGAAGTAACAAGAATGCAGATAACTATTGGTTCTGATGGGAGTCCAGCAAGGAAGAGACTTGGTGGTTTGGAAGATGCTAGTATATCCATTACCTCCTCAAATACAAGTTTGCCATTCCTATCACATATCCCATTACTGCTTCAAAAATCGCAATCCCTGAGCTGGATGGAAAAACAGAAAAGATGCACAGGGGAGGGGTATCAAAATGTGCCTGACTGATTGCTTCAAGCCTTTCTGGGCCAGGAATGTACCCAAGTTTGGACTAGCTCATCTCATGGCTCTTGGGCTAGGTTCACGGCTGACAGTGGAAACCCGGGATCTGATTTACAAGGGTGCGAAGTAACACAAAGAGCAATACAATCGATGAAGGATCAAATCACAGAGAAAGAACAGAGGAACCTTTGGAAGACGAGGTTTCTGTTTTCCTGAACCTGGTTTTCTTGCTCATCTAACTGCTTCCCCTGAACCCCTCCATTCCTACGTGTTATTAAGTCGTTGCAGCAGGCAGTGCTTGGGAAAACCAAAACAGTATGGCTACTGAGCTTCCAAGTTTGGCTTCAGTGAGAATGGAAAAGACTTGGGCCTTGGAAAACCAAGAGATCATTTCAAGCCCCTCCTCAACACTGTAAGATCCTGGAGATCCTGGAACGACAGGGAGGAACGACTCAGAGAGGGGACATAGCCTTTTTGATTTCTGGAGACAATAATCAATAAAAGCTGCTTTCTCTGGTGGAAAAAATATTGTGATGTCACGGAAAGTTTACAAAGCAAATCAACTTGGTTTCTGGGTAAAATGGCAGACTAAGCAGATGGCAACTGTATTCAACCCAGACATGAGAAAATAAAGATTATAAATATGAATGATACTTCTAGAGGCCTGAGTTTAAAAGGAAAAGATTAAGATGTTGTTCAAACACCAACTGAGGAAATACACAGAATGAAAACATTAAATAAGGAGACACACAGAACCCAGAACTGTAAACAGTGAGGCGTGACCTGAGGGATTGTCACCGGAACCGAGGCTGCTGCCGTAAAGCTGCTGGTAGATCATGGGAAAGATGTGATCTCCTTCCCTCATTCCTCACCACCAGGGGGGTGACCTTCCCTCACATCACCCACCAGATGGCTGGCAGTATCCCCCAGCCCCATCCCATGCTGCCTGAGGTCGACTGCCACCATATAGTATCTAGCATGGGAGCAAGCACGTTCAGAGACCCCTTCTGTAGCCTGTTGGCTGCTGTGTCTGGTCTGCACCCAGGCCCAGGATTGGTGTGGGCACCTCCTCTGACTGAAGTCGTTGCCTCTCTCTGAACTTTCTTGTAGATACCTTACCCAGCACATACGGCAGCCACATTTGGAGCAGTGACAGACAAACTCCTGTGTGATTTACTGCCTCTGAAAAGCCGCTGGAGGGTCAACTGCAAGTGGGTTCTGATGGCACACAACAATAACAACAACACCCTCCACAATGTGACCCAGCCTTGGGCGTCTCAGGTTGGCAATGACTATCTCTTCACTCTAGCTGTCTCTGAGTATCCTTCCTCATCACTTCCTAGACTGGAAAAGACATTATACCTAGTCAGGAGGACTACCTTAGGCTCTTCTGAGGCAAACAGAAATGCTATTCCAGGCTTGCCGCCTCAGACAACCTTGGTCTGAGTGCTTATTCTACTGCCTTTATTACTTTTTCCACCTTGAGTGGATCTGTTCACCATTCTGGAAGCCCCTTCTCCCTTTGTGAAAGGTCAAAGTAATAATACCTACTCTGAGTTACAATTGGACCATTTGGTGGAGAGGAAGGGAGCAATAATGGCAGTGCTAGAGCTAGAAGTTTTGTCCCCAGTGCTGATCCCCAGTAAG